TGTGCTTGAAGACACAGAATAATAAAAACAATGGTCAACAATATTCACACAAAAAATCAAATCAAAATCAAAGAGGAAAGAGAGAAAGAAATTTAAGCATCGGTTGTAGTGGGGCTAAGCGGTGGAAGTGGTGGTGGTGGGAGACGATGATAGTTGTCATGTGTGGTGATGGTTGTCGTGCGTGGTGATGATTGTGGGTGGCAACAATGATGGTGGTGGTAGATTTTGGGTGACAATAGTGGTAGTGGCAGCCATGAGTGACGACAACAATGGTGGGGGCGAAAACGATTGTCGTGGGGGTTTTGGGTTGTGGTGGTGGGCGACGACGGGTGCTTACAGGTGACAATGTGATGGGTGGTGACGAATGGCGGGGGTGGTGGTAGTAACAGGTGTGATGGGAGTGGGTGACAATGGGGTGGTGACGATTGTGGGTGATGACAGATGGTGGTGGTTGGTGACGGTAGGTGTTGTGGAGGTGGGTGACAGTGGTTGGCGATAATGGTAGGCAATAACGGGTGGTGTTGGGCAACGATGATGGTTATAGGTGCTAACGGTGGGCGATGGTAGTAGTGGGATAATGGTGATAGTGATAATAAATATAAGAATGAGATAACGATGGTGATGGGTAGTGGCGATTGACGATAGTGGGAGCAATTGGTGGTGGCTGACGATGGTGGTTATGACATAGATGGTAGTGGGGTGGCGATGATGGTAGGGCTATGGCTACAATGGTAGGGATGGTGGTGAGGGTGGCAATGATGGTGGGGGTGGCGACGATGGTGTGGGTTGGGTAGCAATGGGTGGGGGTGGTGCTGGTGGGGGCGATGGGGGAGGTGGTGGTAGGGGTGATGATGATGATGGGATAATGGCAATTGTGGTAGGGTAACGACAGCAGTTGTGGTGGTTATGGTGGCGGTGGTAGTGGGAACGTGGCGACAATAATGGTAGTTGTGGGGCGTGACGGTGGTGGTGGTGGCCATGGCGATAGTTGTGGGGGTGATTATGGTAGAGGTAGTATTGGTGGGACGATGGGGGTGATAGTGGGGTGGCAACTAATTCATGTATAAAATAAACATTTTTTACTATGCCTTTTTGGACTAATTGTACCTTGATGAAGTTTAAGTAATGACATTTCCGATCCTAAAGTGAACAAAGGCTGAAGAACAACAAAAATCACACTTCAATGTAATACTACCACAATAGGGAACAAAATTACAAAAGGTTGGGACAAAGCAAGAATGTTCGAACTTCAACCCACGTTCGAACGTCCTCTGAAATCCTGCTAAGACCAGCTGCTAAGACATGGCGTGTTGTAGTCAACAGAGGGAAAATGTTGAGGTACTTAAGTACCACGTTCAAACGCCAACTCACGTTCGAACGTCCTCTAGAATCCTGAGAAGACAAAACTACTGGAACCTGACATGTTGCAGTAAAGAAAGAAGAACCACAAAACATAAGTACTTGAGTACAACGTTCGAACGACACTCCACGTTCGAACGTTGTCTTGAGTGACTGAGGACCAAGTTGCTGAGAGTAAGGTCAAAGTTGTTCAAGACGTATGGAAGTGACCATCACAGAGACCACATGCCACTTGAGTGGAAGGAATCAGACCCCATCTATCGTTTGAACGCCCCTCAAAGCAAAGACACAGACAATGTTTGAATAACATCTCACGTTTGAACGTCCTTAAAGAAAAGACAAACTTAACGTTCGAACGCCAGATCACGTTCGAACGTCCCTCACTGACTAGCTGCAGAGTTGTTGGCTTTTCACTTGGACATGGACGGCAAACACTATTCCTTCCCCCCCCCCCCCCCCCCCTTTTGCCCTTCCTTACCTATAAATACTCCCATGTTGGGAGCTTAAAGGGGCATTCTTCTTCTTGTAGAGTAAAGGGGGAGCAATCCTTTTTCTTGTAAAGTAAGAGAGTGTTTAGTAATCTAGTTCTTGAACATTCATGTTTATGTTTTCATTTTGCACTTATATCAACCATGATGGAGGCTTAGACTCCCCTTATAGTTGAAGTCTTTTATTTACTTCTGCTAAGTCTTTACATTCATGTTGTAACCATGATAGAGGCTTAGACTCCCCTTGTAGTTGTACTTGCTTTTATTTACAAAGTATCAAGAGAGATAGTTCATCTTTTCGTTGTGGTGAAAACCCTTCAAAAGTAACTAGCTTTCTTCTACTTTTATTGTTCATGCATTTCACTTCCATTGCTTGAGCATTCTTCCTTCTTAGAAGAGTGAAACTCTTCCACTTTTCTAGAGCTTTACCAAAGCCGTGAAGGGTGGAAAGTGATTCACTTATTCTTCATTGAAGATAAGCTCTTTGTTTAGTTTGCTTCACTTAGTATCTCCTCTACCTAGAGGAATGAGTAGCATTCACTTTTCTAGTTTTGTCAAGGCCATGAAAAGTGAGTAGTTCCTCATTCACTCTTTAATAAGAGGTGATGAATATGTAAAGATTATCCGAAAGCTATGTTTGTGCAACTCGTTCATTGTTTCATGCTTTATATTCCACCTATACATTGGATGATTGAATGCATCTAGTAAAGTTGAGGTATTTTGTATAACCAAGGGCTTCTTCTATGATACAAATGACTCTTGTATAGAAAGACCCGTTGGTTCAAGGCAAGAACCCCGGCTCTTCATAACAATCATTCAATCTCCACCATTATTGCATTTTATTCAAAGAATGAACCCTTAATTCCATGATTGGATGCCTTGTAGAAACACTTGCTTGTTTGTAGACGGGTTAAGTCTCAGAACATACAATTCTTGTAAACGTCTAAAAGGTATCGAAATCATGTGTTTAATTTTCACAATCCATCTTTATATTCTAATTAACTTGTTGTTGACATGGGAGTTAAAGGGTGGCTGTTACATTTTGAGAATCTTATATTTTGTCTAAAAACCTCTTGAAAAGAATCTTCTATTATATTCAAGAAACCTCACCACTCCAAACTCTCGAAATTTTCAGTTACTTGGTCTCTATTATTGCTTACTTCAAAACACTAATCATAGTTCCCTATAGATTCGACTCCAGACTTAACCGGATTATTACTACAACTTGACCACCTGCACTTGGGTGTACACATTTCGGATCAAGTCAGCAACAGCGGGGGTGGTGCTGGGGTGGTGTTGGTGGTTTGATGTGGCAAAGGTGGTAGTGGTGGTGGTGATGGTGATGTTGGTAGTGGTGGGATGACGGCGACGGTGGTGGTGGTGGTAGTGGTAATGGGAGTGGTGATAGTAATAATGATGGTGGTGGGTCAGTTCCAAACATTACCTTTTTTAAAAAAATAAAGTATTTATGAGAAGTTATAAATTCTAAAAGTACTTTAAAAAAGTCTACTCAAGCACACTCTTAGGGCCCTATTTTACCTATTAAATTTAAGAGATTAATATTAGCCGTCAGATTAAATTTAAAATTTAAAGATATCTTAACTGCGAAAAATAAAAATTATTTTGTTTATCTTTTGAGATTAGAATTTTATTGTACGTTATTATATACATTAGTTATTGTCCGTGTTTGAAATCACTGAGTAATAAAAAATGGTCAACATTAAATATATTTGTATTTACACCCAAAATTAAATCACAATTATAGAGGAAAGAGAAAGGAATTTAAGCATCAGTTATAGTTGGTTGAGTAGTGGTAATGGTGGTGGTGAAATACGATGATGATTTTGGTGCGTGGTAACGACCGTGATGATGGTGATAGCCATGAGTGGCAAAGGTGATGGTTGTGATGGGTTTTGTGTGACAATGGTGGTAGTGGTAGTCATAAGTGGTGGTGGTGGTAGTCATAAGTAATGACAATTGTGGTGGTGGATATAGGTGGTGGTGGGCGACGATGATGGTAATTTGTAGTGGTGGTGGTGAGGCGACGACAATGGCGGTGGTGGTGGTAGGTTATGGTGGTGGGCGATGACGTTCGTAGTGATGGTGGTCAACACAGGTGCTTTTGGGCGATAGTCTAATGGCTAGTGGTGAATGGTCGTGGTGATGGGCAACGATGTTAATGAGATTATTGTGGTAATGATAATAAATATAAGAATAAGATGACAATAGTAGTGGATAGTGACGGTGGACAATGATGGTAGCAATTGGTGGTGGGTGGTGATGATGGTAATGGTGGGACAGTGGTGCTGGTGGCGGCAACGACGGGGGTAACAACGACAATGGTGGTGGTGGGAGTGGCGTGGTAGTGATAGTGGTGATGGTAGGGGGGTGTTGGTAGTGGGAATGCTAGTCGTGGGGTGGTGATGTTGGTGGGGTGGCGACAGTGGTACTGGAGCAATGATGGTGGTAGTTTTTGGGCAGAGGTTATACTGGGTTGGTGATGGTAGTGGTGATGGTGGTAGGGGGTGGTGGGTAGTGATGATTGTGGGGCGATGGGTGTGTTGGTGGTGGTAGGGTAACGACAGTAATGGTGGCGATTACGATAATGGTGATAGTTGTTGTAACAGAGGTGGTGGTGGAATGATGAAGACGGTAGTAGTGGTGGTGGTGGTGGTGCTGGTGTTGGTTGGGCGGTGGGGGTGATAGGGATGGTGGTTGTAGTAATGGTGATGGGGTGCTTATAAAAACTATTTTTTTCTTAAAATTTTTTTGAAAAATTATAAGTTTTAAAAACATTCCTAAAAAGTCACCTCAAATACACTATTCGGATCTATATTTTTTCTTATTAAATTTTAGATGTAAATATTAGTCGTTAGATTAATTTTAAAATAAAATTTAAAAAGATTTTAACTACAAAAAATAAAATTATTTTTTTTTACCTTGTAAAATTTAAATTGTATTATAGATATTTTTATAGAAAATACGATATTATCGCAGCAACACGATTCATGTATCTGCTCTCTTTTCTTTTCTTTTGTTCCTCTCCCCGTGATATATATATATATATACATTCCTTCCCTCTCTCTTGCCCTCTCTCTCTCTCTCTCTCTCTCTCTCTGGTTCCCCCACCATCTCTCTCTCTCTAACACCACCATGGACGATTCACCAACAGCATTACCCATAACAAAAACGTACTTATCATTAAAACCCAACAACAGCATCAATAACAAAAGCCAAATGCCAGAGTTGAAGAAAAGCTTATTCTCTCCTTCATTCAGGGCATTATCATGCAAGACTCGGAGATCAATGGCATTGGCTTATGTTTTCACCTTCATTTGCGTGGCATGCACCGTCTTCTTTGTCTTCAACAACCCTTCTACGAACCATTCCTCCATTTGGTTCACAAATATCCTTAAAAACAGGTCCCAGTTTTCTTCCTTTTTCTCTCACTACTTTTTCCCAAATAATACCTCCCAAAACCCATTTATTCCAAACCAATTTTCCCGGAAAAATAATGGGTTTTCCGGGAAAATTAATAGTTCCTATATTTCTCCAAATGGGTCTGCAGTTTCTTACGGTGAAAATGGTGATAATATAGAAGGGGTTAGACCAAATGCAATGTCGAACCATACAGGTTTATTGAATAGAGAGAGTGATGGAGCTGAAGGTTCATCAATTAAGAAGAAGAGAAAAGATAATTGGTTGAAAATACTGGATCGTTGTGACATTTTTTATGGAGATGGGTGAGGGATGATGTGAACCCCTTATATGAAGCTGGTTCATGTCCTCACATAGACGAGCCCTTCAATTGTTTTCTTAATGGAAGGCGCGATAATGCTTACGAGAAGTTCAGATGGCAGCCTAAACATTGCAACTTACCAAGGTAGTGAAAATAGCAGAGTTTTATGTTCATTCTGTTATAGGTACATTTTGTGAATATGCGTTTCTGGGTGTTTTGTGTAGTGAGATTGGATTAATTGAACTTGTTTTGCAGGTTGAGTGGTGGGACTTTGTTGGCATTATTGAGAGGGAAGAGGTTAGTGTATGTGGGTGATTCTTTGAATAGGAATATGTGGGAATCAATGGTTTGCCTGCTTAGAAATTCAGTGCAAGATAAGAGCAGAGTCTATGAAGCTTCTGGCAGACAGGAATTTCGGACAGAGGGTTCGTACTCTTTTGTATTCACGGTATGTTATTGCAGTTGATTTCCATTTTGTATAGATTTTTCCATGATTTGATCAATATTGCTTTAGTAGTTTTACTCATTATGCTTTGAAAGTGAATTTCAAATTATATTAGGATTCATCAGTGCAAGAAGCAATTACAAGATGCTAGCGGAATACTGCATTAGTTTTTTCATCAATTTGATTTTCTTTTGTTATGCTAACTTTGCTGATTTTGGATTGATTAGGATTATAATTGTTCAGTGGAGTTCTTTCGATCTCCATTTTTGGTTCAAGAATGGGAGATGCCGGAAACGAATGGATCAGCTGGATCAACGAAGGAAACACTTCGGCTTGATCTGGTTGAGAGATCATCTGATAAATACAAAACCGCAGATGTCCTTGTCTTTAACACAGGCCACTGGTGGACTCATGAGAAAACATCTGCCGGGTATTCCTGTCTATATCTACCTATCAACCCATCTATCTTGATGAATGAATATGAAGGACGTCTCATTTTGGATTTCATTCTTCTAGTTACTAAACTATGATCTTGAAACTTAATGGAAATTTGTAGGAAGGGTTACTACCAAGAAGGTAGCCATATTTATGGTGAATTGAATGTTGTTGAGGCATTCCGGAAAGCTATGACAACATGGGCAAGATGGATTGAAGCCAATGTAGATCCCGTGAAGACCCTCGTTATCTTTAGAGGATATTCAGTCTCCCATTTTAGGTAAATGAAACACGTTTGGTCCTTTTGAATTTAGAAATAGATTGTGCAAAACTTAGAAGCTCATGGATTTTTTTTAATTTTTTTTTGTGATTCTTGTTCTATTTACAGTGGTGGAGAGTGGTATTCTGGTGGGAAATGTGATAACGAGACTGAACCAATCGACAATGACAGAGATCTATCACCATCACTCTATCCTCCAATAATGGGAATGTTGGAACGGGTGCTACAGGGGATGAAGACACCAGTCTTCTATTTAAACATTACAACGATGACAGATTATCGCAAGGATGCACACCCATCAGTTTACAGGAGGCCAAATTTAACAGAGGAGGAGAGACAATCACTATTGAGGTACCAGGATTGCAGCCACTGGTGCCTTCCCGGTGTCCCTGATACGTGGAATGAACTGGTATATTCTCAAATCTTGAAACATGATCACAAGCAACAACAACATCATCATCAACAACAACAACAACAACAACAACAAAAACGACAGCATGCAGCAGAAAAAAGGAAAGGTAAACTGGAAAATACAGCTTTGTAATACACATGGATAACACCACTGCAGATCAATTAATGTTTCTGTAATACTAGTTTTTCTTGATGAAAAACAAGAAAAGAACTGGAGAAGATCTAAGGAATGGTGTTGTTTTAGAATGAAGGGGGTTGTGTTGAGTGGGTAAGAGATGTAACAAAGGGGAAGGCATAGAGGTGAGGAACTTGGTTTCATTTCATTGATGGGATGTTTGCCCCATTTCTTATGATATTGCTTATTTAATGACAATGTAATGATTATGCTTCCAAATCGTAATAATCATATGGTGACTATTCTTCGCCATTAGAACACAAGAAAACATTGTCAATGTTTCTTTTTTATACTCTTACCTCTTAGCTCCCACTAAAGGGATTTTTTTTCTTGCTGGCACAAAAAAAAAAAAAAACAACATGATTGCATTTGGTGGCAGAATCATCTCTACATTTTTTTCTTCACGTGTTTGTAAATTTAATTGAATTTTGGCTATTGTATACCTCGACCAATCACATTTGAAATTTGCTGATGACATGCATCGCTTATTGCTGAATTCTGGAAAAACATATTTCTTCATGAATATATGGTCAATTTTTAATTTCCAGCTACCATTTTCTAATATTTGTCAATGATACAAACATGTTGCCTGAACAGTACGAAGATCTAGCAAGATGATATGTTCATTTTTGCTGAAAATCAAAGGTTAAAATGATCCTTGTAGAACAATGGAGGAATCTGGCAGTTTTTGGTTATTACTTTCTGCATTGTTATCCCAAAATTTGAAAAAGATCATACAAATTGGCCAAGAGGTTCAGGTTGTAAAGAATTGGATATGGTCCAGAAGAAACAGAAAAAAGCCTTTTTCCTATCACCCAGTTTTCTTCGATGGGAGGGTAGATATGGCACTTTGGTTCAATGTATAGATTATAGATGGGAACCTTTCTTCCTCTCCAATAGCTGTAATATCGTTTAAGAAATATTTGCTTGAAGATTGCGAATCTCTACAGTACAGTCTACAGGATTGCAGACATTGCTGGCTCCATGGCTTCCCTGATGTGTGGATTAAGTCCTTTATGCTTGGCTCTTGATACATCACAGAAAAGAGGTTCCCGGTAGAATATACTTGAATTCCTATGTGCAAATATAAAATTATGAAGAAAAAACATAATTGCATATGGTTATGCGAGAGGGTATAGTGATGGGCATTCTGGTGTTAAGTTTTTGGATTTCTGCCATCTATGAATTTACCCTTGGTATCTACCTGCCATATTTATATAAGTCTTTTGCCTTAAGGATTGTAAGTTTCTTATATAATAATATTACTTACAACATCAATTTTATGATATAAGAGTATGGGCTGAAACTTTATATCTCTGTTTTCATGATTGGAGCATCAAAGTTGATTTCTTTATCTTATAATAGGAAAATATGAGCTAAAAATTTATATCTTTGCTCCTTATTTTTTCCTTTATTGTTAGCCTCTTAATTCTGTTTCCAGTACATAACTCATTAGTCAGCTGATGTCTAGCTTTGTTTGCACCTTCTGGTTAATTTCTTCAAGCTAAATCATGTGCGAGTGAACTTCTTTCATGCATGAATCGGTATAACTTCATAGTGCTCCATGCTGGCAGAATATACATTATTTGCCTTGTCTTTTTGGTTTTCATTTTATTTTTTGTGTAATGTTTTCTGTCTTATCTTAGTAACTTATATCAACTTTCCTGAAATGTGTCCTAGAATGCGCGATTAATTTTTTTTACCATTTTCTTAGAAGTCGTCTATCTCAAAAAGTGAGGTTTTATTTGATAGGACCATATTTTTTATCAACATTTAATTAGATTTTTCTTCCCACAATTAAGCTAGAAAGGGCCCCTGTAAGTTAGCATGGCTTTATTTTTTTGCAAGTATACAGCTCTGATGATTGTGAGCTGTAGCTGCCTGGATCGTTTCTTACATTTTGAACCATCTTCATGTTCTTCGTCTGTCTGGGTTGCAGTGGCTAGGATATAATCAGAGATATTGCTTTTCCATCCTTTTTTCTTGTTTTTGGTTTTCCTGCTTCAAACAAAGTAATGCTTGCTTTTTCAAAGGTTCAGTTCATATATTCAGATTGTAAAAGTAAATTTATCAGATCATAAATATCGGTTTCAGAGACTTAAGATCTGAGAAAAATATCTCAGGTCGTACTTGTTATCTCACTCATTTGCTGTCTACCTTCCCACCCTTACCCTTAATATTTGGTTTTCTTTTGGAGAAAACAAGGTATCTGTAAGAACATAATCTATAAGGATGAAATTACCTTTATAATATGTGTGTATGAGTGGAGATATTATTCTCAGATCTTAATTCTTTGAAGGCAACCCTCCCTCATTCACTGGCTGATTGATCTCTGGAATCTGGATTGCTTCCCATGTGCTGGTTCATTTAATTGAAGCTTGTCTCAAGATTCTCCAGTTTGCTCAGTTGAATTTAATTATTTTTCTTTTCAGCATGAGAATTTGAAGAAACGACAGATACTAAGGTTTGATTTTGCATTAGATTTTTATAATTCATCATTAATCCATGCTGATTTTCCAGAAATTTCAGCACAAATTTCTGTCAGATTATTCTGTGCATTTTTAAGAAGAGAATCCAATTGACTGCGTGAGTATAAAGAGTATTTTCTCTGTCTAGAAAGTTTTGTCAATTAGAGCACTTAGCTACAGATATTTGAATCGCATACTCAAATATGAAAAAATAATAATTTGCTGGTAAAAAAACTTTCAATTCAAGTTTTGCACTGGTATTAAGGCTGAAGGAAACGACCATGTTATGCTAGTATAATTAATCATGTGAAGTATTCAATTCTTCCAGCTAGTATTGGTTTGAGTTTCTAGAGTCTTGAGGTTTATATGCTTTATGCTGTCTTCCTAAACCATGCTGAAGTCCAGCTATAGATTGATTGACTCACGAATGAGCAGGGATTACATAAGTTGGTAACAGCCATGTATTTAGTTGCTTTTGTTCATAATCAAAAGTACATCTTTATTGAAGGAATGTGTGTGCACATTGGAAGCTATGACTTTTAATTACTCTATTGACTATTCAGATTGTAGAGTGGATCCATGATCTTTGCATTTGGACACTTGTATGCAAATTCCTTATGATTTTTATGATTGTTGGATGACCCTTTTATTCTCTTTTCATTCTTAACTATATATATTATAATAATTACTGATGGGTCAAGCCTAAAATAGCCCAATCTATGTGCACAGTCCAAATCTCAATTGAGAAGCTCAACCTTATTTAAAGATCCACCAAGCCCAACATAGCCCAAGATCAAGTTAGACTCTTTGCTTAACCACGTCATCAAGGGGGAGAGCATGAAATGCCTTATCTGCACGCCGAAGGAAACGGTCCACCCTTACCATATGTTTGACTGCATCTCATAGAGAGTTCCTCAACCACCTCGCTCGTTGAGAAGGGATCGCGAGCTCCATCGAAATGGTTGCTTAGTCATTGAAGAGTAGCCCCAATCTGTTAGAGGGCCACTATAAATTGCACGTCCTACCAACACATGGAAAAACACACTGATTACCTGGGCATCACACTTTCCTTGAGCACGACTCTCTCTTCTCCTTCAAAACTTGTACTCTCTGCCCCCCACTCCCTTGAGTTAATAAAATACCCTGCAACTAAAAGCCATTGAAGAGTGAACGTAAGTCAAGCTGACTGAACCACTATAAATTGTCTGTGTCTCTCTATCTCCCATTATTAATTTTCTTGCATTTATTATTCACACTTGACAGGTGGTGTGCAAAACCATATTGGGCATCATCAGTTTGGCATCGTCTGTGGAAAGAAGACAAAATTCTCAATCCTGAACATTCCATCCACTGAACCAATCCGATCACTACCTGATCCATGAACCAACACGAAGACAGTCCACCGTGAGAGGAGGAGGTTACTCCTCCACCAGCCAACCCTGTTCCGAATGCTCCAGCTCCGAATCCCCAACAAATGTTGGAGAACATGTAGCAGCTGGTGGGCCAAAACCAACAACTGCTGCAACTCATGTTTGCTGGACAAGGAGGAACACAACTTGGAGGTGCACAACATGGAGGACCCCAAGGAGCTCCACGCCTAGGCGCCCCCTTGGGAGTCCCCTTGGGCGCCCCACTCAAGGGAGCACAACATGAGGGAGTTCCACCTCCCTCTCCTCTTGCTTCCCATGGAGAGGACCCTCATCTCTAGGAGGATGAGGGCGAGAACCAAAACATCGAGCATGGAAGTCATTTTCATGATCATTCCAGAGGAGCTCCCAATCATTGGGACGAGAAAATCAAGAAAGTACAAAATCAACTAGGTGATGTCTTCAACGCCATGAAGGCACAGGGATCCGAGACTGTAGACCACCTGGTAAGGCGTATGGATACTCCTTCAAGCATGATGTAGCGAATTACCCCCTCCCTCAAAAGTTCAAAATGCCATCTGTGGAGACCTTTGATGGAACAAAGGATCCACTAGACCACCTCGACACTTCCAAGACTTTGATGCAGTTGCACAACGTACCAGACGAAATCATGTACAGGGCATTCCAATCACATTGAAGGGGTCTGCCCGACAATGGTTTGCTAAGCTCTCCCCCGCCTCCATTGCCTCCTTCGCTGAGCTTTGTAGATCATTCGTTTCACATTTTATTTGAAGGCGTCGCCACTAGAAGCCTGTTACGCACTTTCTTAGTATAAAGCAGGGACTGCGAGGAGAGCCTGAGGAGTTACCTCACTCGTTTTAATGAGGAGGTACTCCAAGTTGATGAACCCAACGACAAGGTGATGATGACCGCTTTCTTGGGTGGCCTCCCTTCATCAAGCTTCCTTTTCTCAGCGATGAAGTGCCCATCGAAGAGCATGACAGAGCTACTTGCCAAGGCCCAAAAGTACATGAATACGGAAGATATCACAAGGGCCAGGCAAGGTGAATCCTACAGAGCAGGGAAGAAGAGGAAGGAAAGGGAGAGGGACGATAAGACGGAGACTAGCAACAAGCGTGACAGAACAGAGAGAGTCCCTGTCAAGGACCGGCTAGGTCCTGCTCCTCAGAGGGACCGTCAACCCTTCACTTCCCTCAATGCTGCCGTGGGACACATCTTATTCCACATCCAGGATGACCCCGCGATAAAGTGGCCTGAAAAAATGAAGTCTCCTCCAAATCGTAGAAATCCTAACAAGTATTATCGCTTCCTTCGCAACCACGGGCATAACACCG